ACAAATACTGTAAGGAAAATGCGGTAACATTCATTGACAACTGAGACCTCTTCTATGGCAGAAATGACATGTATGCCAGGGATGGGGTTCACTTATCTAGGTCTGGGGTGGGGGCACTGGCAACTGCAGTGGAGGGAGCTGTTAGGACTTTAAACTAGGAATAGTTAGTGGTATGGGTTTTGGCGGGAAAACAATGAAGTCCCAGTGCAATAATATGAGTACTAAGAGAACTAGCAATAGGCAAAATGAGGTGGATATTGGAAAGGCAGTGGCACTAGGCGACAAGGACAGTAGTAGGTTTAGTGGAAAAACAGAAATGAGCAGGAAGGGCAAAGAAAAAGGAGGGTCTTTAAATATACATTATGCTAATACCCGTAGTGCTAGGAATAAGATGGACGAGTTGAGATTAGTTGATAGTGCAGGTAACATTGATGTATTTGCCATAACTGAGACGTGGTTTAATTCAAAAAGTCGGGACATGCCTGCAAAATGTCACATTCAGGGTTTTAAATTGTTCCAAGTAGATAGAAATATCGCTTGAACTGTTGCATAAAAACGGGTATTAAATCTGAAGTAACACATACAGAGTCTGTTTGGATAGAATTTTCAGAGGGGCGTGAAAAATTGATTTTAGGTGTAATATACCGTCCCCCAAACTTAGTTAGGGACCAAGGGAGACTAATATGGGAGGAAATTGTTAAGGCCACTAGGCACGATAACGTAGTAATTCTAGGAGACTTTAACTTTAGTCATATTGATTGGAATTTCTTGACTGGGAATTTAGAATCAAACGACTTCTATGAAGTAGTTCAGGAATGTTTTTTGAAGCAGTTTGAGACAGAGCCTACAAGGGGAAATAACCTGCTCGACTTGGTTTTGGCAAATAAGGAAACCCTTGTAAATAATTTAGAAATTACAAAGGAACTCGGCACAAGAGATCACAAATCAATTACCTTTAGCATTGAATGGAAGTATAACAGTAGGGATAATTCAGTAATGGACACAGATTTTCGTTTAGCAGATTACAATGGGCTTAGAGAACACTTATCATCTGTGGACTGGGGTAACGAAGAGAGCTATCAGTATGACAGCTTTAACACAATACATGCTGCCCAAAGGACATTTATCCCGTATAAGGAAATTAGATCGAATAGAAATGACCCCAAATGGATTAATAATAGGGTCAAATATCTTTTAGAACAGAAGAAAGGAATTTGTAGGGGTATCAAAAGAGGTGAGGGTCATCTTATGAATCAGTATATTGACATTAAGAGGGACGTTAAAAAGGGGATAAGAAAAGCTAAATGGGACTATGAAATTAAAGTTGCTAGGGATTCGAAAACAAACCCAAAACATTTTTTCAAGGTTTATAGAACAAAAGTTAGAGTAAAGATAGGTCCTCTTAAAAACAGCTCTGGGCATCTTACTGACAATGAGAATGAAATGTGTTCTATTCTTAATAATTATTTTCTCTCGGTTTTCACTCAGAAAGACACTGACAATATCCCAGTAATTAATTTTTGTAGTGGGCTTGAAGATGATAAATTATGCAATATCACAGTCACTACCGAAATGATTATCAAACACATAGACCGGTTAAAGCAAAATAAATCCCCGGGCCCTGATGAACTGTTTTCAAGGGTTCTTAAAGAGTGTAAAATGGAACTCTGTGAACATTTAACTAATATTTTTAATTTATCTCTTCAAACAGGTGTAGTGTCTGATAAGTGGAAGATGGCTAATGCATTTCCTATTTTTAAAGCAGGGGACAAGTCGTTACCGTCAAATTACAGCCCAATAAGCCTAACCTCAATTGTAGGCAAATTACTAGAGTCAATTATAGCTGATAATATAAGAATCCATCTCGATAGGCATAATTTGAGTAATGATACTCAACATGGTTTCACCAGGGGCCGTTCCTGCCTAACTAATTTATTAACCTTCTTCAGCAAAGCTTTTGAGGCCGTTGATCTGGATAAAGAATTCGATATTGTTTATTTAGATTTTAGTAAGGCTTTTGATAGAGTACCACATCAGAGACTGTCGAAGAAAGTGGCTGCTCATGGCATTGGGGGAAAAATGCTGTCATGGATCGAGTCATGGCTCACTAATAGGAAGCAGAGAGTGTGCAAAAATGGGGTTAAATCTGAGTGGGGATCTGTAACAAGTGGCGTTTCACAGGGATCAGTCTTGGGTCCCTTGTTGTTTATAATATATATAAATGACCTTGTTGAGGGAATTACTAGTGATATGAGCAAATTCGCCGATGACACAAAGATAGGTAGGATAATTGATTCAAACTTAGATGTCACGGAACTTCAGGGGGATTTGGACAAACTCAGTTCGTGGTCAGAAAAGTGGCAGTTGCAGTTAAATGTAGATAAATGCAAGGTTCTGAAGCTCGGGAGTGTCCACAACCCTAGTAATTATCAGTTAAATAACGTAGAACTTAGCCATACAGATTGCGAAAAGGATTTGGGGGTCATGGTAAGCAGCAACC